TATATATATATATATATATATATATATATATATATAATTATGTTTTTTTATATATATATTGGTAGGATTAAGTTTTGAAAAGATAAATATCACTTTTTAATTTGCAAAGGATAAAATACAAGTTTAGTTGATTAATATTCGATGTAATAAAACAAAATAACCATTGTACACCCAAATGGCCGGTGTAATATAATATTAATGATAATGATAACGATAAAATAATAATTTTAATTCTATGTAAAGCGATGAGAATGTGTAATCAATAAAATATTTAATTTTTATTTCTATGTAAAGCAATGAAGGGCGTAATCAATAAAATAATTTGATTTTATTTTGTGAAAAGAAAACAACAAAAAAGAACATATTTTAACTATTTTCGTTCAAATTACTTTAAAATTTTTCATTTTTAACTGATCTTTTTTTGTGACCATTTTGCTGATTAAAAATAATATCAAATATACAATACAATGAATGCCTTTTTATTCTCTTATATAGGGGAAATAATCAACATAAATAAAAAACATAAATATATTTAATTTAATCTGAAATGATAATCGGACAATGCTGGCCAGTGTGTACACACTTCTATTGTGCTGAAAGTTCATTGGGGCTTCACTAAATCTTAATATATGCATGTATGTATGTAAATCATTGTTCTAAAAAGCGAATACATAGCAGCATAGCTAGCGGCTAAAAATAGTTGTGCAGCAAAGACGAAATGAGCATACACTTGGTTCTGAATACAAAAAAATCGATAAGAACTGAAGTGCTAAGAAGACTTTAGACTTTAGCTAGAAAAATAATAACATAAGCGCAACATATTTATTACTCTTATGATTATATTTTTAAGAAAAAACATTTCATATTATGATTTTTTCTTTTCTATACAATCATTTTTCTAAACAAATGCTTATCGATAGCTATCGATATCGCGATATGTCTTTTGTGTTTTTGGGTAAGCGTGGCAGCATCCCTGGTTCGATACGTGTATCGATATCAGTCTAGCGCTGTCAATTATTTACCTATATATATATATTTTGTCTCCCCAAAAATTATAAATTTAAACGCCCAAGAGAAAAACAATTGTACACAATATTGCAAAGTGTGCGAACGCGTGAAAAAAACGCCCGCAAATGTTCGCCAAGCATTGTTGAGCCGCAATAAACGCAGTGGAACGCCAAAAAAAAAAAACTACAAATGAAGGAGGCGGAGAGCTGCTGCGGCTCCATTGACAACCCAACCCAAAAAGCATAAGCGAGAGGAGTACATACATGTAAAAAGTAAAAAAAAAGTAGAAAGAAAGAAAGAACAAAAAAAGGGAAAACTACACGAAAATTTGGCGAGTGCGTGCAGCGAAAAAGAGTGTAGACCATATATATTAAATAAATATATACAAAAATATAAAGTAATATAATTGGTTGAATCGAATTGAAGTTCAGCCACAATGGATACAGAGAGACCAAATAGCCAAGAGACAAAAGTCATTTATCACATTGACGATGAGAGCACACCGTATCTGGTCAAAATCCCGATACCATCTGCTCAGGTCACGCTCAAAGACTTCAAAATGGTGCTCAACAAACAGAACAACAATTACAAATATTTCTTCAAGTCAATGGACGCTGATTTCGGTGTGGTCAAAGAGGAAATTGCGGACGATGCCACAATACTGCCTTGCTTCAACGGACGCGTCGTCTCCTGGCTGGTCTCGGCCGATGGCACCAATCAATCGGACAATTGTTCCGAGCTGCCGCCCAGCGAATGCGAGATGCGTGTGCGTAATCACTTGGCGCTCCAGCAGCAGCAGCAGCAACAACACCAGCAACAGCAGCAGCAGCAACAACAGCAGCAACACCAACAGCAGCAACAGCTACAGCAGCAACAGCAACAACAACAACAACATAAGCTCGGACCATTGCAAATGCTGCAGCCGCCGCCACTCACATATCAATCGGCCTCGGTGCTATCGAGCGATCTGGACTCCACCAGTCTCTTTGGCACCGAGTCGGAACTGACATTGGATCGCGATATGACCGACTATAGCAGCGTGCAGCGGCTGCAGGTGCGCAAGAAGCCGCAACGTCGCAAAAAGCGGGCGCCCAGCATGTCCCGGACTTCGTCGTACAGCTCCATCACGGACTCGACCATGTCGCTGAACATCATCACCGTTTCGATTAATATGGAGGCGGTTAACTTTCTGGGCATATCCATTGTGGGACAATCGAATCGCGGCGGCGACGGCGGCATCTATGTGGGCAGCATCATGAAGGGCGGCGCCGTAGCGCTGGATGGCCGGATTGAGCCCGGGGACATGATTCTGCAGGTGAACGATGTGAACTTTGAGAATATGACCAACGATGAGGCGGTACGTGTGTTGCGCGAGGTGGTCCAGAAGCCGGGACCCATCAAGCTGGTGGTGGCCAAATGCTGGGATCCAAATCCAAAGGGTTACTTTACCATACCACGAACGGAGCCGGTCCGGCCCATCGATCCGGGCGCCTGGGTGGCTCACACACAGGCGCTAACCTCGCATGACAGTATTATGGCAGATATACCGGAGCCGATCAAAGAGCGGCTCGATCAGAACAATCTCGAGGAGATTGTCAAGGCCATGACGAAGCCGGATAGCGGACTGGAGATACGCGATCGCATGTGGCTAAAGATCACCATACCAAATGCGTTCATTGGCGCCGATGCGGTCAATTGGGTGCTGGAGAACGTTGAGGATGTGCAGGATCGGCGGGAGGCGCGCCGCATTGTGTCCGCAATGCTGCGCAACAATTACATTAAGCACACGGTCAATAAGCTGACCTTCTCCGAGCAGTGCTATTATGTGGTGAATGAGGAGCGCAATCCAAATATGCGTGCCCAGATGCATCCGCTGGCGCATGCGCTGAGCCATGCCGACACGGAGAGCATCACCAGCGACATTGGGCCGTTGCCAAATCCGCCGATCTATATGCCATACTCGGCCACGTACAATCCAAGTCACGGCTATCAGCCGATACAGTACGGCATCGCCGAGCGTCACATCTCGTCCGGTTCGAGCAGCTCCGATGTGCTCACCAGCAAGGATATATCTGCATCGCAAAGCGACATCACCTCTGTCATACATCAGACCAATCAGCTGACCATCGCTGCCCATGGCTCCAACAAATCGTCGGGCTCATCGAATCGCGGTGGCGGAGGAGGCGGTGGTGGTGGCGGTGGCAATACCAACGATCAGGACGTATCCGTATTTAATTACGTATTGTAGAAATTTTTTGCAATGAAATTGTGTGTTTATTATTAATTAATTAATTAATATAATTATTCTTTTTATACATATACGAGTATACAACAAACAAACAATATAATATGTATATTTATAAGTCATGCTGATAATGATGATGGAGATGAAGATGAAGATGGAGATGATGAAGATGAGATGCAGCTGGATGATACAATGGATACAGTGTCAACTAGAAATTAGTTCGAATTGCGTTTGCTGTGGCTGCTCACGCGGCCCACAGGCAAAATGCGAGAGAACATCGCATGTTGGATGAATGTAAGCCAGTTAAATGAGTATAAGAATGAGATGATAATTTTGAATAAAGTTCTAAGAATTTAGTAATCAAAAAGCAAAAGCAAACAAAAAAATAAAAAAATATAACAAATAATCTTGATATTTTTATTTGCATGCTCTGAGGGAATAGCAAAGTTATTTCTCTTAAAGCAGTTTATTAACTGTAAAATTTTGAGAAATGCAGTAAATTATATGGTGTTGAGGTCGTTAAGTTTATGTGGGCTAAATGTATTATATGTATACTAAGCATGTTTTATTTATAGCATGGCTGGTTTTCATTCAGATGACATTTTAGATTTTCATATAATTTGATTAATTGTAGCAAAAGAAAGCATTGATATTGGATCAACACAATAATAGCTATTTTAATTCAAATGAAGCGCCAAATTGGCAACCTTCCAACACTGTGTATGCACTGCTATCGATATCGATAATTATAAGTATCGTGTTAATGTAAATTTAGTCCAAACTAAATATGGCTGCAGAAGTGGAAACTTCGGCCGCCGCTGATAAAACATCAGCAAATGCTGAAGAATTGGAGAACTATTATCTAATGCTCGAAGCGGGCAATATACCAGAGCTGCAATGGCAATTCCCTGGACGTCGCCCGCCTTCGCCGGACGCCAATGCCGGCAGCAACAATAAGGAATTGGAAACCGCGGCCGAGACTGTGGAACAAGAGTAAGTCAACAGTGTGCGAAAGAAATGGAGGGAGAGAGATTCCATGTCTAATTATTTATTTACTATCAATTGCAGACCACAGAAGGCAAACGATTTTGATTTCAGCGACGATGTTGCGCCCACTCAAATGCGTGTACGCAGCCAGACTTCGACGCCAAAGTCCGCCAAAAAGAAGACGGCCAACTTTGCCGGCGTTATGGAGACGCTAAAGAAGAAGAAGACTGAGGGCTCCTAGCATACAATAACGCTGCTACTTAGACGATAAGAGAATATGTATGCAGATATGTATGTAAATACAGTGGAATCCAATGCCAAAGACGCTCAAGGTGCCGTTATACACGAAAGTCGTTCTGAGAATCGGAATTTTCGCAGAATTGTCAGAATAACGGACGCTATAGGCGGTGTCAATATGGCCGAATTCAACTGTATTACATACATACATATTTATGTATACAGTCAACTAAATGAAGTCATGCTATATTATTTACTATAGATTAGATTAGATAGATATAGATATACTATTATTATTTAGTATAGATCAGATTAGATAGATATAGATTTTATAGATATTAGATATAGATTAAGTACTTTGTTTAAATAGATGAAGAATTACATGTACATATATCTTCATCAAGCCAGTCTATAATGCAATGTGACTTAGTTATAAGTATTCATGTTTCATTCATGAAATAATCCTGTTTCATTCATTCCAATATTATGTATATATCTATCTCGCTCTCTTTCATTTTTATGTAATGTAGGAGATTAAGACGTAAACATTTGAATAACTAAGAAACGGAAGTAAGCTTATTTCAGTCTAATAAGTGTTATTGATTTTTTTTTTCAATTTAGAATTATTTTAGTTTATTTCTAAATAAATAATATATATAACTTTGAATACATATATTAAATAAAGCCAGCTAAGCTAAACTGTTCGTATTTTTCGTGATAATAATAATGCTCTATTTATATGTGGGCACATGTTATATAGCTATCTCGCTTTATCTTCCTTTCCTTTCATATTGCTGCATTCACTCTTCCATGAGACCCTTAACTTGGCTCTCTCTGTCTCTCCCTCTCTTTCTCACATTTTCAAAATAAAACGTTTAGTTTTAATTTACTTCATCAATTCATTTTTATTGGTTTCAAATGGCATATATATATATACATCTTGAGTATATATATATATATAAAGTATGTTTGACTCTCGTTGTCAATAGTTTTATTGTTTATTTTTATACATAATATACATAACATATACATTAACTATATGTGCACAGATATTTGTTGAGTAAATGTTACATAAAATACGTTTTCATGTATTGGCTTGATTAGATTTAAACATATATGTATAAGTGGACTTCGAATACCACTTTTGTACATTTTTAATTATATATTTTCTTTATATATATATATATCAAGCTAAGCCAAATGTAACAAATGTTGTCTAAATTTTATAACAAACTAAAATGAGAATCCGATTAGAAGGTAAAATGTGTGAAATAAAAAAGACATCAGGCGATGTATGTGAGTTGATGATGCTAAAGTACAGTATATATCTTTATATATATAATGCTGATGACGTATATTAATATAGCTTAAGTTCAAATGAAACTTTGTTGCTGTAAAGCACGTGCGTCTGACGTTTTAGAAACGTCTATGTGTGTGTGTGAGTGTGTGTATGTGGTTGTTTGTGTGCGTGTGTTTATGTTTGTGTTTAAGTAGTTAAGATAATAAAATAACAACTTAAAATGATAAAAAGAAAACATTAACAATGCAATTTCAATGCTGCTGTCATATCGAACACGCCCTCTTTCAATATCAGATTGGGGCGGACTATCTTATACACATGAACTATGCGCTCATTATGTTATCTGCTCGCCCGTTTCTGCCAATGATTCATGTCATTCGTTCTCCAACGTTATACTTCTGTTGAATTGTTGTTGCTGATGTTGCTGTTGCTGTTGTTGTTGCTGCTGTAGCTGCTGTTGCTGTTGCTGATTGCCCGCTGCGGCTGCAACATTATCACCAGTTTCGCGTGTTATGATTTGTATAATTTGCTGAAATGATGGACGCGATTTGGGCGTCTCATGCCAACAAGGACGCATCAGCTCATTGTAAACGAAATCCGAGCATAGCTCCGGCTTAGGTAGACTGCCAAAAAACCAATCGAGTTAGAACCGAGAGCTTTCGTATATTGAAGCGACTTACCGTTCGCCTGCCCGCAGTCTATTTAGGAACTCTTCCTGCGTCAAATCTTGACCCGGCACCAGATTTGGTATTTCGCCGCGTGAGAACATTTCGAACAGCGTCACACCATAGCTCCACACATCGGAATACGATGAAAATTTGCAGGTTTCGATAGCTTCCGGCGAGTACCTGCAAGTGGAGTGGAACGGAATGAAGTTCAATGAAATTGAATTCAAAATTAATATATTTTCCACTCACCATTTAATTGGTATATCCCGCTGACTGATGCCGTAGTAGTAGCCATCGGCATTGGCGAACTGCGCCAGGCCAAAATCGGAGATTTTCACACATGAACGATCGACTAGAATGTTGCGTGCTGCGAGGTCACGATGTATCAGTCCCTTGCCAGATAAATAGTTCATGCCCTGCAAGTCATTCATGTTGATTAAATTGATTCTACAACGATAAATCAAATTTGTACTCACGTGGGCTATGTCCAGGGCGAAGGTTAGGAGGCGGGCATTGGTGAGGCTGGGCTTGCGTGAGCTCAAATAGACAATGAACGAGCCAAACTCAAAGTACTCCATGATGATGCTCAGCGACTTTTCGGCCCAATATTTGAACTTGACCACATTGGGATGATCGAGCTTGCGCATGATGTCGATTTCGCGCAAAAAATCATTTGTCACCTGCACAGTTTTGAGCTTCTTGATGGCCACCTGCTCCTTGGGTCGATCCTTGTCGTGATATTCGAGTTCGCCCCGGTAAACGGTGCCGTAGTGGCCCTGGCCAATTTTGTGCTTCTCGCGATAGATGACCTTGCAGTCGTACAGCTGTATGACCAGCGGCAAATCGTGCGAATTGGCAAAGAATTCGCTGCTCAGGCCAACGGCTCCGTTGCACAGCGTCAGGCTGTCCGAGTCGGCCGAATGGAGTTGGCCATTGGCCATGCCATAGCCATAGCCATCCGAGTAGTCGACTGAATGGAAATAAAGTAAATGATTTAGTAAAAATGCTCTAGCTTCGAGTTGGATTGAAAGTAAGAGTAAGCATGAGTTTGCCTGTCCTTGTCTTGAGGCCTTGGCATAGATCTTTTGTCTGCGAGAGCTTATATATTGTATCATGTTTATTATGCTAGTTATCCTAGTTATCTTCATTATCTTCTTCTTGAGTTTCTTAAATATCCTAATTGTTGTGTTCTCCTTAGTTACATAACTTCATCTTGATCTGATATGTCCTAATGCACCTCAGCATCTTCTATACCTACATTATCCTTAACTATCTAACAGTCTGATTTGATATGATATAATATATCATTGATTGTATATATACAATCTTCAATTTTCTTAAATATCCCATTTGGTATACTCTGCCTATTCATGCATTCATCTTTCAGCTCTGTTTCTGTGATATCTCCTTTGGCACCTCTTCTATATCCCTTTCCATCCATATACGATTGCTTATAACAATTAATCCTTTCGCACATAGTATATGTACAGCCCTTTACTCTATATACTCTGCCGATTTCAGCCCTATAATAGGCACACATCGTATCGCTTAGTAAACTCCACTTACACGACTCCATCTCTGTGTCAGGCACATCGTAGTTGCGTTGCAAACGATTTTTGACCGTATTCAATCGCGTGAAGATGTCGTGATGACTGAATCGTTTGTCCGGATCATCGCTCCAGCCATCCATAATGGTGTTGTACATTTCAGGGGGACAGAGACGAGGATCCAGTGGCGCCAATATGCCACCGTCAATGGATCGATGGCGTATAAGATCACGCTGCTTCAGCTGCTCCAGCGCCAGCTGGCCACGCGAGAATATCTCATAGATGGTGGTCGCAAATGCCCACAGCTGTGTGCTCGAATCCTGCTTGGCGGCCTCCAAGTTGTTGTAGTACTTGATCGGTATCCAAGGTGAGCTACAATAGAACGGATGCAATAATACTCAAATAAGTTTCGGCTGTGACTATTCGGATGGTTCGACTGGCTGCTCACTCGGATTGTTTGTATGGGCGCGGATAGCCTGGATCGCTGATTTTGGCATCGAGTACATACTTCTCGGAGTTGTATTTGGTAACATACAGATTGGCGCAGCGTATGTAGCTGTGTATTATCTTATTGTCCTCCAGATAGTGCATGCCGCGCACCAGACCGTGCATCACATCCAGCAGACAGTACATGCTAATGTTCGGATTCATTTGCAGAAACTTATTCAGCGGTCCGTATTTCGAGTACTCCATGACCATGGTATATGGCACCGACAGCGTTAGGCCGTACAGTTTGATGAATTGTGGCGACTGGATCAGGCTCCAGGTTTGCGCCAGCTGCATGAATTCGACAAAGTTCGCATCGTACTTCAACATCTTCATGGTTACGGGCACATCCTTGAACGAGCCCTGCTGTATCCAGTCGCCGCGCATCGTGAACATCTTGTCATCGTCGCTGTGATTAATCGAGTCTGTGGCAGGTCGAATGAAATGAGCAAACAAGAAATCATAGATCAATGATCTTAGCTCTTACCTCTGTACCATTGTAGGTCAGTTTTTGGATTGAATATCTGCGGATTACGTCGTTGTAATTCCGCTTCACTCAATTCCGCTTCAGTCTTTTTGGTTTTCAAATTTTTTGGCAGGCAGAGCAGCAACAACGGCGGCTTATCATATTTCGATGCCGGTATCCGTATACGATCCGGACTATCGGTGTGTATGCATTGCGCCAGCTCTGATAGCTGATCGAAGTAGTGCTCGTTGCTCTTGTAGGCCAGCTTCCATTGCTTGTCCTTGCGTATTATCTTGAACGTTTCCGTTTGGCAGCGTTCGTGATCGCTGTTTTTCGCCACGCTGCAAAATGTACGTAAATGGCATTTAGTCTAGGACCAGTAAGATCACTATAAGGGGCATGTCCGACTAGAAGATACCCTGAGTTAAGTAATTTAGTAAAATTATAGCAAATATAGCTAGAATTAATATTGCATCAAGTAAACATAAAACCAATTGCAAAATTTGCAGCCTCTACGAAATAAGATTGAATAACTAACTGTATTACCATAAGGGTTTCTATCGATAACATTAGATTCGAATCGGGAGTGATCGATTTATGTATACAAACTAGATCTACACTTGCTATAAAGTTGGCTATAAAATAAATATCGTCTCTAGTTCTTATAGATCCTGAGAGCGGTGGACGGAATCAGCTCGTCTTGCTAATACAGACTACATATGCTATATGGGCTCTACCACACCCCTTTTTGCCTGTTATATGCCCTTTATCAAAGCCATTGAACCCTGGTGGTTCGCGGTATAAATATCTTTTCTATATATATATATCAACATGTGTGTGTGTGGCTTACATTCTCGTATTGATATCAATATAATATGTGTTATATTCGCGATCGCATTGCCGCACTATATAACTGCCGCACTTGTCCCCGTTCTCGTGCAGTTTCATAAACGAATAGCCGCCGCCGATGGGCCCATGGCAATACAAACGATCCAGTTCCTCGAGCGAGGGTGTCTTATACGATGGACACAAGTCCTGCATCCATTTGACAGTCAATCTGAAATCGTATTAGTGTTAGTTATAGGCTTAGCTTAACTTGCTGAAGCTTCGTCTAGTTGCCTTATGTAAATGCCCAAATATGATATGAACGACTTCATTTCATGCTCCGTCTCGAAACGCATGTGATATCCCTTGGGAAAGCCAACGATTTCCAGGCGCACCAGCTGTTCGCTCTCCTTGTACAGCGAGAAAATGTCCTCGACAACGGCAACGAGACTCCACTGCAATTAGTTTAGAGAGGGAGACATTTGAAGAGGGGGTCAAAATAATATGGGCCGAGGTTAAAGCAAAACGAATGCCATAAACTGAATGTGTACGAGTGTAAAGGATCATTTGGATAAAGAGATTGCTGAGAGATAACTATAGATAATAATGCTGATGATAGTTCTATTATATATTTTGAACATTTCCAAGGGTGTTCATAATACTGATAGATTTATGGATGATCTATATATAATATAGATAATATATGTCTAATAGATGATATTGATTTGAGTTTGACGAAGTAAGGGGAAAATATCTTAGCTAACATATGAACAAGGCCTTTAATTTATAGAGCTATTGATATAAAAATAGAAGAAATGCTATTCAAAGTCATTCCAATGTCAGATAAATTAAAATCTTCAAGCTTCAATTGATCTATATATATAAAAATATATATCTGATTACGACAAAGTCTTTAAGCTGATATGTAAACAAAGCTCTTCTTATAAATGGAATATATGAGTTTATATATATATATGTATATGTATACATTGGAGTCAAATCTATATCTATATGCATCAGCATAAGGAAGCGAGTGGAGCATTGCTCGGCACAGAAAGAATCAACAATTTGCAGCCTCTGTTTGGATTAAAATAAAGAGAGAGTATTGTTTGGTTATGGACGGCCGATTGCGGTGATTCTCTGATTAAATCATTCAAAACATTTGCATGACTTTATCGCTTGAATTTCCTTGGAAATGTCCAAATGTCGAACGGCCAACGATTACCCACCTTCAGCGTGGCCTCGGATGTGACGCGCGCCACCTTGAGGCCCGGCTCCGGCGAGTCATGATGCCAGAGTCTCACGTACACGGGTATCGAGTTGGGCAGCTGCTGATGGGACGATCTATGGCGACTCGGCTGAAACAGATGGTGACGGCCGCGCAAGGTGTGCGTGTCGCTGCCGCTGTCGTTGCTGCGCTGATTGGACCCCGGCCCGGCTCCGGTACTTGTGGCCGAGAGCGTCGTATTGGAGCCGGTCATTAGCGTTGTTGTCGATGTGTGCGTTGAGCTGCCGTTGTCGTGCGTCGGCGGCTCCGTTGTCGATTCGTTGGGAAAATACTCGACCGTCGCCTTAAACTGTTCGGTCAGATAGGTGGGCGCCAGATGGCAAATTTGATGGACATAATGCCACTTGAGGCTGTCCACATTCGGCGGATCGCTGCTCAGCCGACGGAACGTGCTGCGGATTTTGGAGCGCACAAAGATGCGATGCGCACGCCACAGGCTGCGCGGTAAATAGCTTTTGTATGCCTTCTCCACATCCTGGGCGATTAGCTGCTGCTCCTCCTTGTCGATCAGCATGTCCATGACGGCCAGGCCCATCACCTTGTCCTTGTGCTCCGGATAGCGGATCTCGTTGATCTCCTCGTGCAGCATATCGTAGCGCATCTGATGGTACAGATACTTATGGCAGTGCACATCAATGACCGGCAGTTGTCGGTCCAGTTCTGGGACACGGAAACGCATGCGAAAACAGTAGCGCACATTGCAGTTGAGCAGCTCGCCCGGCAGCTGCCACTTGTGCTTCACTTTGTCGGCGGGCGTTGGATCATTGTTATTGTTGTTGCTGTGCTCACGGATGCCGAACAGCAGCACTGCCGTGGGCAATATATCCATGTGGCGGCACATTGTGGTGCATATTTCCTCGCAGTGGAGCGTCGGCGAGAATTTCTCGTAGCTGCCCTTGCGATAGTTGTAGACGTGGATGAGGCCATCGTTCTCGATGTTTTGGCTTGAGCTGCCGCTCTGTAGGGATGCGGTTGCCAGGCTGGCACTGTCCGCTAGCGAGGTGCGCCCGCTGCTGCTGTCGTCCATTGTTGCACCAATAACAACAGCAACAACAACAACAACAACAACAACGGAAAACTCTTCGACCTCCTCCCACCCGCCAACGCCTGCAACTCACAGACGCTAGCTACAATCACCGTTTGGCTACGAATATGGTCGATTATATTGGGGCTTTGTACGGGTGCCACAGACACAGCCAATGCCACAGCCACAGTCACCAAAACCAAAACAAAACAAAAACAAATTCAATCGAATATATTTCTTTTTTCTTCGTTTTTTTTTGCCTATTTTTGGCTCAGCTGGTGTTTGCGTCGGTTCTTCATTAATATGCCGTTTAATTGCTTTAATTTTCACTCACTAACATGCACTTTTTTCTAATATTTAACTATCTACGTTGCGCAAAAAATGTAAATATAGCTGATGAAAAAAAAAAAAAATATGCACTATTAGCATTGATTGTTTTTGTCTAGTTATTTTCTTTGAAGCAGGTATCGATAACTTGTTGCAGACTGTGTTGCATGATTTTCCAACACTCTCGGTATTTACTGTCAAGAGTCTGGCAGCATTGGCAGGCCTGTCAAATCTTTATATAACCTCAAATCTAAAAATTTCAAGTATCGGGCGAGAAGAGAAATAGTTTAATTTGTTGTGTAAATATATATTCACTGAAAACTTGACGTAAAGTTTTAACCATATATACCAGATATGTCCGACTTCGAGAATCTAACCGGCAACGATAAGGAGCTGCAGGAGTTTCTTATGATTGAGAAACAGAAGGCACAGGTCAATGCACAGGTAACTGAATTGATTGCAGGTAACTCAATGATTGCAATGATAATACATATCTAATTATACACTTAGATACATGAGTTCAATGAGATCTGCTGGGAGAAATGCATTGGTAAGCCGAGCACCAAACTGGACCATGCCACAGAGACGTGTCTCAGCAATTGTGTCGACCGATTCATCGACACTTCGCTGCTGATAACACAGCGCTTCGCACAGATGCTGCAGAAGCAGAGCTCTGGCGGCATGTAGGCGACTGACTGACTAGTCACAGTACCGTTGTAGAGTACATTTCGTGTTGCAGCTAACAGCCAACAGCAAAAACCATAACAACAACAACAGAAGCCGCATCAGCATACACTTTTGTGAGCCAAACCTGAGCTGGAATTGCAAACAATTTGTTTTTGTGCTTTACACACACACACACACACATACACACTCGTTACCAACTAAATGATTTTGAAAATTACCTTGTAAGAAGTTTGATGTGCGATTCTCTCTGGACAATGCGGTGCAAAATTTTTATTCTGTCGTTCACCGTTCGTATTGCTAGCGACAAAACTTCCAAATTCTAAAAAACTAAGAGACCCAAAAAAGATGCAAACAAGACAAGAAGAATAATTACATATAAAAAATGTACAAGTTTATTTATTTTTTCTTTGTTGAAAAGTTTAGTGTTTGCTAAGTAAAAAAAAAAAAGAAATAATAAACATTATAACAATGTTAGTTAGTTACTGCTTAATGACTATTATTATACTATGACCCGTGCTGCGCCTCAATCTGTTTCTTTTTCAGCTGGCGATAGAGATCGACCATTTTGTTGCGTTCCCCCTCGAGCATGTTGCGTGTTGCAGCCGGCAGATCTTTGCGTTTGCCCTTCATTTGTAGCTTTGTGGGCGCACTCTGAGCTGGGACTTTCTTTTTGCTGGTAGGAGAACTCTGTGTGGTCGTCGTTGCGCCATTAGCCATCAGCGACCTGAGCAACAGATTTGCTTTGCGTCCTGGTCTGGGCACAGTCTCATCTTTATTTGCCTTGCGGGGCAGAGTCTTCAGTGCAGGTGGCGCATGTACGATTTCACCAAATTTTATTTCATCTCGCTTATATTCCGAAAGAGGAGCAGGCTGTAAATGAATGAAAGGGAAGCCAACAAATAAGCACATATGTAGATTATCTACATGTACAGCTATAGTCATGAAAGTAGTAGTGCAATTGAGCACTAAATGTAGATTCATATGTATATTGTGTATAGCCCACCTCCTTTTTCGCCTCTTCATCAGCTTCCTTGAAGGCTCGCTTAATCAGCTCTTTGCGCGTCTTAGCATCCATGCCATTCTTGACCACTGCATTGTTTTTTCTACGTCCATTTTTCAGATTGTGGCGTTCCTTTCGTTTCTGCTTGAGCAGTTCGTCAATCTCATTCTTGGGTCGCTTCTGTAGCGTTATTTCACCCGTTTTCGGGTTGCGTATAACATTGACACCATATTTCGCCTCGTATTGTGCTTCTCTCACGGATGCATTGGTTATGCGATTCACTCGCCGCAGATATTCCTCATCCGTTTCATTGTCGAACTGTTTGATTTTGCTTGACTTTTGTCCGCCCGCCGTACTATTTACGGTCTTTTTTGTTTTTGTCTCCTTGGGTTTGTCTTCTTTGCCAATATTACCGATTTTCAGTTTTTTACCCGCCTTGGCAGCTTCGACGATTCGTTTGAATTGCGTGAAATTGTGCGACGCCCGCTGTTCGTCATTTTGTGTCGGCGGATTGTTCGTCACGTTGGCCAGCCTGGATGATAGAGAGGATATGCTATAAAGCGAATAAACGATCGTAAGGTACTTACTTTTTCTCTCTTTGTTCGATCTGTTTCAGCGGATCTCGCACTCCGTGATGCTTGCGAACAGGTATTTTGCGTTTTCTCGCCATATCAATAAATGTTTCTTATAATCCAAACAACGATATTGCTCGTGGTCACGTTTATTCAAAATACATGCAACAGCTGATTTTGTATATATATATCGGCGATACATCGATAGAGAGCAATTCTTAGAGCAATTTACTGGTTGCCACAAACTTACTCCATTTATAAATTTTCTAGGTATCTTTTATATAATTTTTGTTGTATTCATTTGTATATATGTTTAATAAATATGAATAAATATATTAATGAATATTAAGAATTAAATTATTTATTATTTATAAAAGTAATCGATTATCGTACAAATCATCGATATTGCCGGGTAGACCCGGCATGTTATCGAAGGGCTTGTATCCAAGGACTGCATAATAATACATATTTACACACATGCACTAATACGCATATAAATATATGCAATACATTTTTTTCTATCAATTTGTATCTTCACACAAATTGCCCCATGTACATTTCTATCCATGTATGTGTGTTCATTGCAATTGCCGTGTTCTCTGCACTGCACATATGTATGTACATAAGTATGTATGTATGTAGCGCGCATGCGCCAAATATGCGAGACAAGCAGAAAGACAGGCAGATAGGCAGAGGCAGGCAAACACAGGCAGCCACAGCCACAGCCAGAGCCAGCAGCCCAAGTAACTAGCGAGCTTATAAGAGAGCAGAAAATCGTAATATATTCAACGTGCTTCATGCTGAACGCAAGCAGTAATTTATTTAAATTTAACATAAAATGCTCGAGCCCTGTGCCAAACAAATGTCCTTTTGATGTGTGAACGTGTATGTAATACAGATTGTGATTAGTTATTTATCTTTTTTTTTATTTTTTTGTATCAACTGATTGTGACAATATTATTTTGATAAAAAAAACTCAACTGCAATTTGCAGTGACAACTGAATACGGAAAATAGTGTGTACATATGTATGTACGGGCATATGTACATATGTATGTATGTACACTTGTACATTTGCTCAACGTGCGTGTTTTCCATTTTTTTTCACCTATTTTTTTTTATGCATATGTATTTACATACATATAAGGATATACAAATTGTACAAGGGATGTTGTTTAAAAATGAATAGTGATGAGTGCCCCAGCAGCAGCAGCGGCAGCAAGCAAATAATCAAATACACAGTATGCAATACAGATATGTAGATGTACATACAATTAGACACACATCTACATACATACATATTTGCCCTCACATGTATGCCCGTACGTATGTGTGTGTGCGATTGTAGCGTGACAGCCGCAGCATCAGCTGCCAGAGCATCAGTGAGCTCATAACGGTGCGCGAAAACGTCGAAAACTTACTTTTTGTCTCAACAATTTGTTCGTGAGTGAAAAAGGTTGTTAGATATGTGCATAACCGAGAATCGAGTGAAAAAATGTTGATAGATATGTGCATAAACGAGCATTGATTACATATATGTATGAATACACACACACATACACACACAGAATAAAAGCTAGTTATGTATAAGTAACATCAAAGTATGCTATAAAAATTATCGAGCATAATATCTGACACACAAGGATCGTTATGTGTGTACGCACGTACATACACATCTCAATTAAATATACATATAACATTTGATAGTACAATAGAGGTTCTTCTTCCATAATCAAGGATAATGTTTAATAACAATTTGGTTGCTGAAGAAAAATTTAATATTTAAATGCCATCAGTGCATGAAAGCGTAATATAAACATTAATGATACAAGCACATGTACATATGTACATATGTATATACATTATTATACCTACACACATACATACATATATAGTTGGCGGCAAATTCGGCAAAAAAATGTTGCTGGCACAAATTTGTTGAATAATAAAACTGAAACGAAAACATGTAAATATGTTTGCTCAAATATTTTGCCGTAATGCTGCCTAAACATAAATATATATACATATACATATTCACATACAGCGCTGTCTGTCTGCATGTACGGTTTGTCTAAAAATACTATCGTACATAAATTCAAATAAATAAATCTTGCTTTCATGTATAATTGCAATTGGATTTGCTGTGCGCGCCTAGTGAATAAGAATTAAATGCCAGAGTTGTAGTTTTAGTTTTCTTGTTCATATATGTATGTATGTACATACATATATACAAAAAAATGTATAAAAATACATAGTTCACATTCAATATAGAATATGGCTGTCAGCTAACTGTAAATCAAAATTCAAACGAACGTGCGTCAAGGTCATCTCATAAATTTATCGGTGTCCGTACGCAGTTTTAAATAATCGAAATGGAAATCGAATGCGTGCATACATACATACATGCAGACGTATATACTATCATATAAATACTTACTGAGCTACTTTTTTATAGCATACTTTAATGAGCTCTCCTTGGCGAGCTACTGTGCGAGCGAGTGAGCGAGCGAGCTAGCGGCCGCACGTGTGTAACCTACATACATACATACATACATGCGTGTGTGTGCCCGTGGATGTGAGCTTGCGTATGTAAATTTTTTTACGCACATCAGTTGCGATAATTACACCAGACTATATTTGACATGGCTGAACCACTTGAGTTGTGCAATTTGGCTTGAACGAATACCTATAAATATGTATGCTTATTAAAAGCATTCCATTGCCGTATATTAATCATACGCCACGTATAATTAGAGTAATTGCCACAATGAAAGAAAAGCAAGCATTATGTACCTACATATATTGCTGCATTACGCGCAACGGAATATAAATTATTAAAAGCACGCTGGCAATCAATCGTCATTTGAGCCAAACGACAGGATAAGACGACAGTAATCGGTTTGTAATGCCATTCCGCCAGCTCGAGGTGATTGAACTTGCCGGCGTTGCCACTTTAACCACACGCACATACCACACACTCACACACATAGATATGTACAAAGAAATGCCCATATATATGTATATACATTTTATACATACATATTAAATATATTCGTATATTTATATGTATGTACATACATATATGTATGTATGTACATGTGTATTAAAGCCCGCATTTGCGCTCTCTCGCTCATCAGTATTTTGCCTTTACGCTTTGCTTTCGCTTTTTCTGCGCTTGCCTGCTTCCATTGTTTTAAGTAATATGCACATAACTCAAAACAAAAGAATTAATAAAGGGCAGTAAGAATTTGTTTCACATCGCCTGTTGAGTAAATTCAATCGATATTGGATCTAATTAGGTAACGATTCTATGAGCTGTGAATAATATTTAATACATGCATATGTACATATTCACAATAAATCACTACGAATTGGTTATTAAAAGAAAATAAATATACAATAATTATGTACATACATACATATATACATACATGTGTTCATATCAGTTGGCAACTTATTAACAGTTATACACGATCTAATGCACTCGTATCAAAGAGAAGAGCGCCGCAAAGCAGAGAAAGAAAGAGAACGAGTGAAACAAGAGAGTGCCAGCCATCGCTTGAGCACTTCAAATGCGAATAGTGTTGCCATTATTGTTTATTGTTTCGCTTATTAGTGACGTGATCAGCGGCAATTTCAAAAGTAAACAAAAAATCGAAATAGAGTAAATGAATGAAAAATAGACATAAATTAAATTAAAAAGACATAAATTGGGTCTCCAATTTTCCACGAAAACAGTTCAATTGCATTTTAATGCTCTACATTTTTGTTGTTTTTGTTTATTTATTCGTTTTCTGTTCATTTTCGAGTCTCGAGTGAACACTGGCAACACTACTCACGACAGGCTCGCTTGCACGCTCGTTTAGCTGCTCGCTCACCCACTCAAGAAACAGTTGCTATGCTGAGAGCGGGCGCGGATGTGACGCTTAACGGTTTTCGAGCATGATTAGCGTAGTATTGCTGCAATGGTCAGGGACGGCACGCGTTGAGCCAATCAGTTATTCTCTCGTTTCGCTAACAATTCAAAAATAGGAAATATTCTTTAATATCCAACTGATCCACATTGTATGTATATATGTATATGTACACATGTGCATATGTATATATATTTGCGCACAATAAATTCCCAAACAAAAAGAGAATTTGCTGAAATAGCACAAAAAGAATCGCACTCATATGAGTATGTACATACATACATGAGTGTGTGTATATGTGTGTATGTGTGCATATAGACGTCAAAACAGACGGCAAATACTAGGAATCAGACAATAGCCGCAACACTCGCGACAAAACAATTTTGGGGCGACCAAAATTTCAACATTCAAATTCATGTATCTTTCATTTATTTTTATTTTTGTTTTAGTCTCACGAAATCCGGTACAAATGCAATTAAGTGTATATTCGTGTGTCTACCAAACCATATATATTTTAAATTTTAATATAATTTTTAATATGTATCTTAAATCGAAATTGAAATCGAAATTGAAATGTATTTTGCTTATTTTTTCAGTCTTTTTGCCGCATGCTGTTTGCATGAAAGTTTAAATATGAATTGAAATCAATTTCATTTCCTATGTGCACATGCGTGCCCCAAAATAACACACACACCTACACACAAAACGCACACACATGCAAGTGAACATGCGTCAATCACAGTGAAAAAAGTTCAAAGTTTTGTGACGTTAAAATCCGAAATTGAAATTATAAAAGTAAATGCCAAAGTCAGAATAATATTTAAAAAAAAAAAAAAAAAATAATAATAATAATTGTGTGAATTTATATACATACATACATAGTTTTTATCTTGACCGAAATCAATGCGAATATAACAGGACATTCAAATAATATAATAAATTTTTAAAAGCTTCTAAAAAAATATATATAAATATATACAAAATGAATAATATATTTACAACTCAAATATTACAGCACTGTCCATTAAAGTAAAGTGATATATACATATACATACATATATATATCCACATAAATATATATGTATATGTATATATGTATATGTCTGTATGTACATATGTATATATATAGAGTTTAACGACTTTCGAATACATAAACAAAACTAAAGCAACAACAAATACAACAACAACAGCTACAAAATGCCAGTGAAAAAGCAAGGTAAGACGTTTCCCAAATTTATTTCAATATACATACATACCCACATATTTTTATACGAATTTCGACTACTTTTTGTATACATTGTGTGGTGCAAAAGAGGAGTATATTGGTTTAGTGCAATGTTTAGAAATGTAAAAATTAGGAAATTTGATAAACGCCTAATAAAAAAGAAGTTAAAATTGATATATGGCAAATTAATTATATATCGTTTGAGTTTTAGTTTTTATATAGTTTAGCGACGTCCCGGTTTCAGTTTCGACCTTCTGTTCTGCTCTACGAATATTTCTACAGTTGAATGATTTAAATTATATCTACATGGGTCTGGGGTAATATGCACTAAAATAGATCTATCTTGATTTAAATTTTCTACATTTCCTCTCTAGATCAAAGGAGTATTTAGCAGTCGGCTATGCCAGAATTTTGTTTGTTTTCCTTTGTTTATTTATGCAATCGAATTAAAAATTTATTGACTAAATGGCGCAAAATAAATACAAATAGACTTTCTGAGTTGTTTTTCCTGCACTAATAAACAATTTTAATTATTAAAAAAATAATAAAACAACAACAACAACAACTAAATTGGAATTCTGTAGAGCTTTCATCAGCTTTTAATGGGCATTCATCAAGCTGTGCAAATAGATCAAAATTGTGCCAAACTCTTGAAGATAATTAAAATTTTGTTATATTATTGGGCTCTTTATGGAAATGCGTTTGTTTTGTTAAACAAATATTGAATGTTTTTGTTTGATTTTTACGTATCTTGGGGAAATGAGCAGTAAACCAAGTTGAGGATTTCCAAAAATATCTTTGGGATGAATCAAAAAATCCTTTGACATGACTTTAGAATATTTAACTGCAGAGTATTTTGACGGTATATGGGGGAAAGTTGTTGATCTACTATCTAGAGACATTTCTCTTATTATTATAGAAAAGAGCAATAGTCTATTATGCCCACATTTGCATAGACTACAGGGTATATGAGACAAATTAGAAACAAGCTAATGTTGCCAAACTTTTTCAAATGAGCATTAGACGAAGGTCAGCATAAGTATGTGACGTGCATTGTCAAGACGCCAAAATAGTTACAGATGTAATATATATATATATATGTATATATTTAGCTTTAGATAGCTAGTATGCAGGTGTGTGTGTCCGACTTTATGGCAATGTCATCCATGTTTGCTGTGCGCTGACCCCAAAAGATTTGTAAATGCCTGGCGAGGCGCAAAGCCTGAAACTGTGACGAAAACTGATGCAAAATGAAAAAGGTGGAAAGCATAAATAGTTGGCCTAAAGCGGGCAGATGCGGGCAGGTGCGGTCAGGTGTTGCCAGGTGAGCGGTTAACCAGGCGGACCAGCGGACCAGCGGGCCAGCGGGCGGGGCCAGATACTAATTTTGCTTTCTGTTATATTTTGTCGTTCATTTTTTTTGTTTGTTTGTTTTTAAGTCAATCTTTATTGATTTATTGAGCTAGTGTCGCACTCGCAGAGAAATCGTGTAAATGGTAGATGGTTTATTTGAATGGGTATTATTAGGCAGTACGACAACGTCTCCGCACAGAGCAAGTGCTGGCGGGACACTTGAGCTGCCTTGCTTGTACTGCGGGGATATGGACTCGGATACGGATTCGGATAGGGAAAAGAGCAGCGATCCCAATGAGGAGCTCCTGAGCAGCGATGATAAGACATTTCACGATGATGACGATGGTGATGATGATGATGAGGAGGATTCTTCCGATCTGATCGATCCAATTAGGCGAATCGATGCGGAACAAGTGCAATCAACAGCAGAGCAACTGCTGGTGGTGCTCATGCAAGCGGAAGCCATAGAAATGCAACAGCAGCACGAACAACAACAACAACAGCAGCAGCAGCAACAACAACAGCAGCAGCAACAGCAGCAAATCGATGTCGAGGTGGATGTGGCTGACATGTCAGTGGCAATTGCTTTGGAGCCACCAACAGCCACCGCAGAGCCACCTGGCCAGCGTGTGCCCGCCGAGCCACTGATTGCCAAGTACAGCGAGAGTGTGCGCGAGTCTGTGGAATGTTTCTACTCTGCCCAGGATCTGCTGGAGTATGGCCATATGCTGTCCACGGCGGAGCAGCGCACGCCGGATGTTGAGTCTGGCTACTTCGATAAGTCCGAGAGTGACGATGTCTCTCGCGAAGATGTCGAGGCCCAGACGGGCTGCTTGCGTCGACCCAGAGGCGCCCATGCGCTGCCAATCCTCTCCAGCCAAGAGCTGGCATCCACAACGAGCAGCTCGGAGAGTTTGCGCATTGAGCTAAATCGCTTCTGCAGCTCCATGGAAGCATTCGAGCTGCAGCATCAGCAGCAGCAACAGCAGCAACTGCAGCTGCAGGTGGAGGAGCGGCAGCAGCAGCAGGAGGAGCAGGAGCAGAATCAGTTGCTCTTAAGGGAAGCGAACGCAGCTGTAGGGGATTTGGCTACGGACGAACGCTTCCTTGACACACAAAGTGAGCCATATGTTATGCAGGTGTTTAGCCTAGGTAAATTGAATGATTGGCCGAACCAGCTACAGTACGACAAAGCTCTAGCATATAGACTATATAGGAGGGGAGGAAATATTTCACTTATTTTCCACCAAAACATATTGAGAAGAGGGCAATATACACGAAATGTATATAGAAATGTGTGTTACCTAAGAAACATCTATAGAAATGGGAAATATTTAGGGAATACTTATACATAGGAGAAATTTTGGTTAGGATCTTATATAAAAATCGCACCTTTCAATGCAATCCTAATCCGCCTTATCTTACTATTATTATGTACAAAATCTAGTTACAAGTTTTCTCATATATGTATATATTATGCTTAGAAAATTATGTCTAACAATTGTCATACTGAAATTTCCTTTAAACTTTGCAGAAGCTCATCGTGCCCTTGAATTGCTCGAGGATTATCATGCGCGTCTCTCGGAGCCACAGGACCGTGCGCTGCGTATTGCCATCGAACGTGTGATTCGCATCTTTAAGTCTCGCCTATTTCAAGCGCTACTAGGTGAGTATTATACAAGAGCTATATAGGACGAGTTATAGAACTCTGTTGAATACATCTTATGCACTCGAAGTAAGGTTACTCTAAGCAAAGCTCTCATTGCATATCTTCAGTGTATGCCAGGGGATTATGTTTTTATCTATCGAAACTGCCATCACATGGAGAGGTCTGTCGTATGCGAGCTGCTTCTAGAATATATTTAAATGTTTGCTCAAGATATGCTTGAGCTGATAAGTCTTGGTTTCGGATTAGGTTTCATCCAAAATTTCCAAATGCTGTGCATACAGTTCGCTCGTATTCTCCCTCTCCTTCTGCTTCTTCTTCTTCTTCTTCTTGTTATTCTGGCTTTTGAGCTGACTCAAGCGAAATGAAGCAGCTCAAGCAGCTCGTTAAATCGGATCCATAACTTGATACACACTCGAGTCGAGCGTTGCATAAACAAACGACTCGTCGACAACGCCAACTCGACTCTTAGCTAATAGCTCGATATGCATGTATACAAAACAATGTATCTTGGTGGGGCTGGCGGGCTGGAGCCATAGTTATATGCATTCCGTTTCCTTCTGGCCACACACATCGCCGTCCCGACCATGGGCACAGCTGTGGATATTGACGTGTGCAGGAAATTAAATGGACGCATTCACATTTTTACATTTAGGCCACTTGACTTTGGGGCTTATTGATGAGCTGGGCGTGAATACGCCCCCACGCACACACAGACAGATAGAACCACGAACCGACCCACTGAGGCTTGACCTAAAAACATGTTATGCGCTCATCAACGGACGATATTATTTCCCACTTCCACCAGGGCGATATACAAAATTCAAATTGAGTTCCAGCAAATTGCATTTAAGAGTCGTGCTGCAAATACCCTGTAAAGCTGATTATAAAGAACTCAAGTTTCTTATAAAGAACTCAAATTTAGTGTACAACTTTTCCAAAACTGCTCTATATATTCTTATATGCATATATTTCTGTACGATTACGATTTTTACGATACCCTGTAAAGTAGGCTAATATAAAACAAGTTTACATCGAAAGATTTAATAGGAAACATAGCACTTCTATTACGAAATTAAATGTAGGATACGTATTTTTTTATTATATAAAATAATATAATATTATTAATTATTTCCCTCTTACAGATATACAAGAATTCTATGAATTAACATTATTGGATGACTCAAAGAGCATACAACAAAAGACCGCCGAAACCTTGCAAATTGCGACCAAATGGGAGAAAGATGGACAAGCGACAAAGATAGCCGATGTAAGTAGAGAAAGAGCTAGCTATAGAGTATATAAAATACATAGTATATATTATATATATACCTATTCTGTTCTTAGATCTATAGACTGATCGTTTTAACTAGACTCTGTGTCGTAGTTGTTGAGCTGAAAAGTTGTATTATAGTGAGATTATAGTACTCTCCAGCTCAAACTTAATATTAGTTTATAGATTTATGTATTTTTGTTTTCTGTATGTATAAATATATATATATCTATATGTGTTGTGTCGTACTTAGCTATAGGAATCCTATCTATATAGTAATACATATATGCGTGCCCTAGAGCCTTTCGATATCATTTGAGGTATATTTTTTGAATCATTTAATCATATAATCATTTTTCGCTCTATATAATTTAATTCCTTATACACATAGAAACACCCGTTCGTCATAAGTTTTCCTGTTTTCAAACTATGTTTAGCCAATCTGAACATTTCGAACTCTATGCTCATGTAACTCTCTATCTGTCTTGATATTTCCCTTTAACTCTATCTATCTCTCTGTCTCTCTCTCACTCTGTCTCTATCTTATGTCTTTAATCTTCTATCTACTTAACCCACTTTATGCAGTTTATAAAAACTACCAATCTAAATCGCAATTGCGTCTATGAACTTAACAACGATGCCACAAATCCCAATCCAAGTTCAAATCTTAATCAAACGGTGAACGCGGCCGCGCATGCCGAGGCCTTGAGCAGAACATTTAAAAATGAATTGGAAGAGATTTTGGTAAGCGCATTAACTCATTAACATTATCATAAATAACATTATCCATACAACTACAACTATTCATATCTATAGCTATCATACATATTATCTATGTCTATCGATAAACATAATACATACATACATATATACAGAGGGTAGGAAATTTGTCTTAAGACATAACTAGAGCTGAATTATTTATATGGCAATTATATAGATTTAAGTTTATGTCTGATAAACAGTAAGAAAATTTTAAATTAAAAAAAAAAAAATGAGAAATACATAGCAACATTTCGAGGAAGCGGAATAGCTTAAGGAATAATGCTCAGCTCATTTTGACCGAGCTGTATTTGTGTGCCTAAGGCTAAGGCAAAGGCTAAGCAATATTCATCAAGCTCTTCGACTACTCAGAATTATTTGTATGACACCTAGGAGTGCCCTAACGGCAGTGCACGACTAGGATAATGCCCTGAATATATACTGAAAGAGACATTCCTATCATTAATTAATCATATATATACAACTATAACATCTATGTATGAGGCGGAAGGTATCCAGGTTCTTAAATATATTAATATAAGTATATGTATTTATTTACATATTATTGTGATCAGACTTGAAAATGCAAAGTATTATGCTTAAAATTGAGACTTCAACTTATTTATTAGTCTGAGTGTTTTGCAAAAAATATATATACATACATATATGTATATGTGTATTGTACATATACATTTTTTATGATCAGACTGTGAAATAGGCATAAATATACTTAAGGATTTTTTCCAATATGGATTATCTGTTACAGTTGCTTTATATATGTATATATTTAGTATATGTCATAAAGAAACTAACTCTATGACATCGTTAAATGTAATGAGACAGCAGATAAACTTTTATCTTTATGCTAGAAGATAAACAAAACAAATTGTTGTTTTGCTTTGCTTGGTTTAGTTTGTGTTTGAATGATGACTTTACTTAAATTAGTTCCGAATTGATTGATGGTTAGCGAGTCGAGAGATCGGTATAGCTGCTAATGGCGTTACTACATCATGAATATTAACAGCTAAACATGGTATATATAAATATGATATACATACATATATATAACTGTATATACAACAGTTTAGCTAACTGAAAGTTTTGTTTGCGTGCGTAAAGGAGCGTAAATTTGAAATCGGTATGCCGTTCGCATGCAAAAGCAAAAGCAAAAGAAAAAGCAAAGGCAACGGCAACGGCAACGGCAAAGGCAGCGGCAAAGGAAGTTGGAGCAAAGTTTTTGCTCCGGAAGTGCCCAACTAGGCAAGTGTCAAAACATTTGAGGCGGGTCACTTTTACAGGTTTTTACTGTAATACAAGCCCTGATTGCTTTTATCGCCAGCTCTCACTGTCGCCCTCGCTCGCTCTCCCTCTCTTTCTCTCTTCCTCTCGTTTTGCTGCACGCTCGCTGCCTCTGCTTAAGCTGCTTTTGTGTGGGTCTGTGTGTAGCCAAGCAACCGTTAGGCACACGCGCACATTTGCACACCCGCACATTCGTACATCCACTCATTCACAGCCACACACACGCACACACACATACGTACATACAAACAGTTTTAAATTTGATAAGGACTTAACTGTTAGCGTCGTCTGTTTTGTATTTGCAACATGATTTGTGTTGACCCAGTCAGGGGCAGAATAACGGGAACATGTTGTACAAGTGGGTGGCTGGGCGGGTGTAGCGTAGACCGTCACGCTTTAGCTCGTGGCCCGGATTCGGGTTCGGGTTTGGGTTCGGGTTCGGTTTCGGGTTTGGGTTCGAGTCCGCAGTCATTCGTCCGTTTGTCGTTATGTCCTGCGCCGACGCGCTGCTTTTGTTATTGCACAGGCGATATCCAGGCGAAGGTACGTACGTATTATGCTGTTGACATGCGTAGTACGTTAACGTAAAACGTAAAAGTCTACGTAAGTTGAACGTGTGTACATATGCTAAATTGTAAACGATGTCCATGCAAATGTGGCGACAGCTTTTGCTGATTTTTTCTTATGACCTGATTGCACGCCGATAGCTGATATGTTTGAGGGCGTGTCTGTGTGTGTGCGCGCTCTTAAGGATGTGCTCATGCAACAAATGCAATATCATCAATTGTTCAACAGCCGTGCTTAACGTATTAACTAGTACAAGGCGGCACATTGCTCAAACACCCAATACAGACCTTTCTGCAAGCCCCCACCCTTCGCCCACTAACGACGTCTTTAGCTGTTGTTGTTGTTGTTGTTTTTGCTATTGCTGCTGCCGCTGCTGCTGCTGCTGTTGCTGTTGCTGCTGGCATTGGCGATTCGTGCGTCGCGCGTGGCAGTAACAGCAGCGCTGTCGACGTGTCGAGTCGCACAACTTTCGCGTATCCGTCAACTGTCCCCGTCTCTCTGTTTTCTATCTCCGCTTCCTGTGCCCGTCTCTGTTCTTTCGTCTTTGGCCAACGTCTTTTTGCGCCCCATCGTGTGCAAATTGCCCGGCATTCCCAAATTGGTTAGACTCGACGATTTAACCACCTTTGGCGCGCGTGCCTCCACAAAGCGGCTGTGCGTGCGTGTGTGTGCTTAGAATATTTAATAAATTTGCATTAATAGATTAAATACCAAAATGCAGTTACAGCTAGATTTGTGGACAATTATATATGTATATTTGAAAAATAAGTCCTAAAAAATACCATGCCTTAGCCATTAACACATTTTACATGCATAATTATTCAACACTAGCAGCGCGCAAAAAATACAATTACATATTTTTGGCACTTTGTAAATTGCACACTTTCCAGTGCTGCAGACACATACAAGCACACACACACACACACACACTCCGACAGCATGTGGCGTACAGCTGTTAAGCATCAATGATGTACACACGCACATACAGTTTTTGCTAGGTCTGCTAATTACATGTTGCTATCCCGTTTCAACGCCTTTTCGCTGTTGAACTAAAAAAGGAAAGCTGAAAAAAAAAAAAAACAACAAGCAAATGTCATCCATACTCAACATGGATGCTGTCAATGTTAAACGTTGCCATAGTTTACAGAGGGTACAAATGTGCGCTGATCTCAACGCTAAATGGCTTTACCTGTAAGCTAAATGTACATGTATGTATGTATATACATATACATGTGTATACACATATATAGGTATATACATATATGTATGTGTATATCATATAGTATTGTATTTACTGTATATTACGTATACGCCTTGGCAAAGTATTCACTAAATATATGTATTTTCGTTGTCTCTCCACTTGTACGCAGACATATTCACATACATATGTATGTATATATGTATATATTTATATGTACATTAATTCGCTCGTCTTTGGGCTTTTCATTCAGTTTTTCTCCGCTGGCATTGGGCAACTTATTAAAACAACAGCAAATTATATATGTACATATACCTATCTATATATAAAATATATCTATGTATACATATATATATCTGACTCTTCTGTTTTGTTTTGGCATCTTACTTGACTGCCGCCCGTCGTCGCGTTCCGTCTTTGTTGTCTTACGCCAGTTTTTCGCGCACATTCGATAGAAGCGCTAAGAAACGCGGCTTTTTTCTATTGTGATATCCGGAATTATACATTTGTATATACATATAAATATACATATATATTAATATATATATAGGTATATTCCTGTGCGTTGTTGATTTATGGGCTCGCCTTTCGATCAGTCACGCAAGCTAATGCTTAATCCAATCTATAGATACAGTCAGAGGAAGATAGAGTGAATAGCAAAAAGTAAAATTCATTTTTGAAGGATTACGAATATGCAGTTGCCATAGATATATACATACATATATGTATGTATATATATTCATTCGTGTATATGTATATGTATGTATTTGTAAAAGTATCTATTTCGTGGAATACGCTCACAAACAGATTTCAACAACATGTGAAAGCACATTTTGGTCCACCCCAAAGTAGACACATAAATCTAGATACTTTTCTCTACAGACAAAATGCAAAAAAAAAGAAACAATCATTCAAGAATATCAAATTCAATTGAATTATCTGCTTCTTCTATTGTATTACAATAATTTCACTAGATGCAATCAAGCATCACATTCTAAAGTGTACCTAATCAAATGGCGTGGAGTGTGCAGCTATAAACATCCGTAGTTGCCAGATTTTTATTTGATGTCTTTTCGGGCTGTTCAACATGTGAACTTTTAGTCTGCTGCAAATACAATACACACATAAATACATGTGATTGTTCATGTGTGTGTAAATACACAAATAAATAGGTAAAAATATTCCTCGTACGTTCAAATCAAGTCAAGCAAAAAAAAGAATCTATGGGAATACATTTACAATTATTGTATATACACACACATACATATGCACATATATACTAAGTTCTATACGAGATTTACATACATGTGTACATATGTATTTCTTCCAGTTTCCTTTATGCTTACACACACACAGCATCCACACGCACACGCACACGCACACACAGCAGCTTCAGGCTGAGGGTTGTCGAAAATGAAAGTTGAGCTTGAGGGTGGATGTTGAGGCACGTACACACACACACACACACATACGCACAGTCTCAAATACACACACAAACACAACTTGTTGCTTGCTTTTGCTCGAGAGTTTCTATACTATAACTGTGTATTACAATATGTACTTAGGCAAAGAATAACAAGCTGTAAATTCAACACGCTCAAAATACATAAAAAGTAACTTTATTCCAGTGCTTTTGTGTGCGTGTGCGCGTGTATGCGTGTACGTGTGCGTGTTGGCGTGAGCTTGCATATTTGTTGAATTGTAAATGCAACGCTGTGGGAAATTTTTAAAGCCCGAACTATTAAATAAAAAAGTACTTTTCACAACATGATCGATTGGGTATCGATAGTGCGGCATTCGCGACGACGTTTCTCCAATTATGTTGGCGCACGGTCGCCGGTACGAATGCGTCGACGTCGACGTCAGTTAACTGCACCGCCGCCACCGTCACAGCAGCAGCAACAGCACCAACAACAGCAACAGCAACAACAACAACATCAACAGCAGCAGCATAAATCTCGTCTACAGGAGAAGAAAGCTAAGGAGCAGCAGGAAATCGATGCCGACGGCGATAGCAGCAGCGTTAGCGGCCGTTACGTTTGCTGTTGTTCCAACGTAAGGCAACCGTCATGTATTTCACTAATACATTGATGTTATATATGGCAAGAAAACATACTTCAAGCGCTGTCAAAATTAATTTAAATAACATTTAACCACCAGTTGATTATGTTATCGATAAGCTATTAAGGAATTTAATTAGTAATAGAAAGCGACTAGAGCTTTGTGTGGACCTCAAGATTGTCTATTGTTATTATAAAATGTGAAGTATATCTCTTTTAAGATCTTTTTGACCTATATCTGCTAGAAATTAATACACTTCAAATTGATTGAATGTTTCCTATGTCTCTTCCAAGTGTCACTTGAGTATTTTCTTGAAATGCCTGTCAAGTGTTAATGCATTCTTTCATTTATATAAATATTTATCTTTCGCAGAACCAACGCATGCGCATTGAGTCTGATTGCGAGACTGCCAAAGATGCTGCAGCCGACGATGCTGGCATTCAACAAGTGCGCAACTCGCGCTCACCCCAGCAGCAGCAACAGCAACAGCAGCAGGTGGTACAACAGTTGCAGCAACACCTTAGCCAATCACAGTCCACGGCAGCAGCTAGAAGCGGGACTCGGATAGTAAGTGGCTGCAATTGAATGAATTATGTTTGCTCACTGCCCATAGCTAAATCATGTCACACTAATGCTCGAATTGAGAACAATTGTGGAAAAAAAACTCGGAAAAGGCTATAAAAACTGCCAATGGGCAGAGCCAATGACTCTAAATTGCCAAACATTCCAAAAAACATGCTGAAATCAAATAATAATAACAATCAAAATAAAGACCGGATGGCCAAAATCGCACTCAAATCGTTTGGCCACAGTTAATTTCGCTTAATTAGGCGCTTAATTTCAAATAAAATAAAATGGCTGCCGATACCGCTTGTTTCCGTTTCCGCTCAAACTGTTGTTACCCAGCCTTTGTAGACTATTTCATTAATTATAATTGAAACCTAACCAGTGTTTTATTTTTTTCTTGTCCTTACTATTATTATTGCCAGTTAACGTTCGTTATAATATTGTATTAATATGTTATTGCCCTCACAATTTTCCAATCACATTATTTTCAATAAAAAAACAAAAACTGAGATCAAATACTTGGTTATATTTTTTATTTGTTTACATTAATATTAATATCATCTATAATTTTGGGCATGTCTATGTTCTTATACTGTGTTACTATAAGATTATGTACTTATGTATTTAATAAGTCATTAAAAACAAGAGAATCAATTTCTCTAATACAAATGTTTTATTCTGATTGTTTGATTTAAAAATATTATGGTTTGTATAATTTCAGTTGCATATGTGTATTTATTTCCCTCTTAATGTTAACTATTATATTAGTTATTATGTCGTTTTTGTCACTTTTATACATTTAGAGCACTATAAATGTTATTTATGTATTTCAATTGTTGACCTAGATTTGTAGTTTTTAACGCGTTTCACTATTAACCATCTATGGTTAGTGGTTTCACTGGCTGCTTTTGCACAGATTATTTTAAATATTTTGTATTTCGCGCCCAGCTTACAATCAACTCTGATCTACGTTCGTAAAATCTTTTGCCAACACTGGTCGTTGCGATCGTTGGTATCGATAGACGGGCTTGAAGCTATCGAGCTCTAGTTCCGTCTCTAGTGATCCAAGCGCAAGCGTCACTCCCTTGATAAAAATGTAAAAAGTAAACACGTCGTTGCTTACTAATTGTGCGTGTCAATGTGCAATCGTATGTAAACATAAATTTTAATTAGCGTGCTTTATTAATCAACAAACCCGATACTATAGTGAAATAACTTCGAGGCTCTGTAAGCTACAAACTATATAGTTGGTGCTGCCAGCCAATACTGTTGATGTATCAGCGGTAATATAACCGGTTACGCATACCAAAACACCACGACGATAGTTTGTTAGCATGCTAGAGGTGGGTCGGTTTTGTGGGCTCGGCAACAATCGAACGGTTGCGCAGCTCTAGTCAGTCGCTGGCTCGCTAGAAAAATGCCAACAACACAACACGGGAAAAGAAGCAGGCATCGCATAATTGCGGCGTAAACGCATTAAGAAAATACATAAACGGTCTGTGAAAATCAGCGCCAGCAAGCCTATATCCAAAATCAATGCGAACCGCGAGTAGAAATGTGCGTGTTTTATTTAGAAATGTGCTTGAAAGTGACCTGAAAAAAATCCAGAACAAAAGCAAAACTCTGTACATAAAATATTAATGTTTATAAATTTATACATAGATACGTGCCACAAACCGCAAACCATAACAAAGTGTAATCAATGAAAAGTTGGCTATCATAAAAACAGCTAAAACAAAAATAATGTCTTAAAGTTGTGCCTTTTAGCTTGCGCTACTTTTTTTTTTTATTTTTTACATTCGTCAGAACCGCGTACATATACGCTCACACATACAATCATACGTGTACGCTCACACACACGTATGTATGTAGGTTATACACATGCAAGCCATAGCGCAAAAAATACCAAAATAGTCGGCGGTTGACACAGAGAGTGAGAGCGAGAGCATTGCGACTGTTGATTTTTTTTGTTTTTTTGTGTTTTTTGCTACTTACTCTGGCAAACAATAAATAAATATGTGTGTATGTAATTTGGAAAGCATAACGTGAATGTATATATGTGTGTGCGATTAGAAGATTCTCTCACGCTCAGTAACAGAAACAGAACAAACGGTGCCCAGCAAGTTTTTAGCGATAGTTGTAGTTAGAACTCGCTCACGTTGGCAACGCGCCGCTTGTCTGTGTTGTTCTTACATATTTATTAGTTGTTATTATTTACTTATTTTTTTTTCGTTTTGCCTTTTTTTAAATTATTTTTTGCGTCTTGTGTGGATGACACTTGTTAGTGAGTCACGCGGCGGCGACGAGCGAGAGTGCAAGTAACGTACACTTATATATGTATTTGTGGGCGTGTGTACGTGTGTATGCTTATACTTTATATTAAACGCAAAGCTAAAGGGAGATTTATAACATTTTGTTTGCTTAGCACGTAGTGAACGAACGAAACGTTGCAACGTAACAATAAATAACGTAAACGTTTACGCGACTGCGACGTCACTCAACCGGCATTTGTGATTGTGTTACGTTACGTGCAACGTTCATTGCTGTGTGCGAGAGAGAGAGAGTGAGTGAGTGAGAACAAGCGCGTTGTGATAATAATATGACCACACGCAAAAAGAAGCGTCAGGATGGAAGCAGCAGCGGCGGCGGTGGCTTCATCAAGAAAGTCTCATCACTATTCAATTTGGATTCGGTAATGAAAAAGTGCAAATCTAATAAATTAAAAATAAAAACACATAAGTATTTACAAAATAGATAAAATGTTCGATTATTTGCTGATCAAACTTGATATTGATATCTTAGATAGTTATCCTTGCCCCTGCCCCAGCCCCTGCTCTATTTATTTAGGCAATTATTTCATTTTACGCCGGATAACAAAGATTTCGGATCGTTTTAAATATATTCTCAACGGTGATTCCATGGTTTATTTTTAAATTCCGCCAGATATTCAGACAGCATAAAAAGTATAACAACAAAGGCAACAAGAAAATTCTCTCAGTGCGTCTTTGTCATCGCATTTTGTATGTCCAAATTTCAGTGAATAAACAAATTGTCTTTACGCATGCGCAACTCAATTTCTCCAAATGACACATGCATATTCATACATACATACATACATATGTATATATATATAAGTAGGCAAAGTAGTTGCGGATGGGCGTACAATGTAGAATTTGCAAAAATGACAGCTGCATCTTTCTCTCGCTCTTTCTAACTTCCTCTCCTCTGCATGCCGCCACGCATAGTGTCACCTACTTAACTGTGCATGCATGCATGTGTGTGTATGTGTGTATGCATATATGCATCGGCATGTGCGTGTGTAAACACGACGTCCGTTCGCTCATCTAGCCTCTTGCACTCGCACTCGACCAGCACTCGCTCTCTCACTCGCTCGCTCTCTTTCCCTTACTAGATCGCTTAAAATAGAACTCGCTCGTCTTCACAATTAGCGGCTGCCTTGAGCACCACCCAAATGCAACAACAAAAGCTCAATGGGCTCTCTTAACGGTGTTTGCTTGAATAAGCAGGCAGACGCATACTCATATCCATTTAACTACAGTGTGTGCTCGATATGAGCAACACAGTTCTACTCTAAATTGAGCTTAATTATCGAAATTCGATTGACAATTAGTGATAATGATGCTAAATATATATGTATATTTCAGCTATTCATATGTATTTATTCAATGAGTCTACCAAATGACTGCAAATTCTTAAATCGCTGCACGTCTTCTAATTTGTATACAGTTTGAATATTATTTGTTTGCCTTTTCTGGCAGCCAGATGGAAGGACAACAATGTTGATATTGAACCACATTTGGGGGGCAGCTTTGATTGGCTTTGGCTGCCGGTGGAGGTGCAGGTGTCGATTTATTCAGACATTGTATATATCTATTTAGATTTACACATATATAGAAAATTGGCATTGTGGTCATACACATCGGCAGTGCGTGTGTGTGTGTGTGAGTGCATGCAGTTGGCTCTGCGTCAAATCGTCACAGGGTTCCAATCAGACCCAAAGAGTGAAGTAGTGCGAGCGAGAGGCAGAAAGAGAGCATAGGACGTATAATCCACACCCAACCAAACATTTCGTACTCATTCGCATTTGGTGGCAATTCACCGAGCCATATTTGGAGCCTATACATATATACATATATAAATATACGTATGTATGTGTATACATGTATAAGTACACCTATGATCAGTGTAATAGAAGCAGTAATGCAATAAAAACAATTAATTTTCTTAATATTACATCAGGGGCCGATAGTCAGCCTAAGCAGTATATAATAATGGATAATCTCATAGGCAAGCTTAACTGTAGTTTACATATTAGGAAAACTAAACGCACTGCTAATTCAAGGTGTAACTATTTTTTGTTTTTGTTTTTTGTTTTTGTTTATAGAAGAATATTTACTCATGCTACTTTAGCAAGTGCTGCCTTGTATCTGCCGTTAAGTAAATAAACCGTAATTGCCACACTCTGAAACTGGAACTCGTACATAAATACATATGTATAAGTGTGTGTGTGTGTGTGTAACCCAACCCCAACCCCAACTCGAAAAGTAAACCCAAAGCCGAAACCAAAGCATATTTAAAAGCCATATGATTTTCACTGATAAGATAAGGTGTGCTTGGTAGCTGATATGAAGACTATGTTGCCGATAATATATAGTCCAGTGACTATATATAAATATGTGTATATATACGTATGCTTAAACATAACAGCACAGACAAACCACAACAATTGAAAATATTTTTGCGGTTTTTTTTTGTTTTCTTCATATCGTTTGGTGAATGAGAAAATGCCCGCTAAAGCATTAACCACTGAAGCGACCTTCAATGGAAAAAGCCTTTATAAAGTTCCAATTGTAGAATTGTGATGTAATTGTTTACATAAGACAGAGAAGCCAGCCCCCTCCCTACCCACTCGATTTCATCCACCTTTAAATTGTGAACTTAATTAAATTGAATTATTTTAGCATGGTAGACCCAAATGAATCTAATCAGTGGGAATTCGGTTAGTTATTGATTGAGTTCAGGTTCGTTTCAGGTGACAAAAGCAAAGCAAAGCAAAAGGCAAAAACCAAATCTACATGTTAAATATTTAACATGTTGTTTAAATTACTTAACTTAACTAGAAGTTTATAATATAATTTTGGGTTTATTTTCTCAATGAATGTGAGAAAAATGCATTTGAAATATTTAACAAGAACTTAGATCTATCTCTTAATGTATATAGCAAAAGTGCCTGTTAAATGTTTAACAGCAGCTTAACTTCAAGTTTAACTTCTTATGTATGACCCATATGAATCTAATCAGTGGGAATTCGGTTAGTTATTGATTGAGTTCAGGTTCGTTTCAGGTGACAAAAGCAAAGCAAAGCAAAAGGCAAAAACCAAATCTACATGTTAAATATTTAACATGTTGTTTAAATTACTTAACTTAACTAGAAGTTTATAATATAATTTTGGGTTTATTTTCTCAATGAATATGGAAAAAATGCATATGAAATATTTAACAAGAACTTAGATCTATCTCTTGATGTATGTATGTATATAGCAAAAGTGCCTGTTAAATATTTAACAGCAGCTTAACGACATTCAAGTCGAATGAGGCTCTTCATAAGCCATTACCAAAACACTAAAGCCTTAGACTAGCACAACTGCATGTCAACTATTTGCTTGACAGGTGAATAAACCTGCCATATAATGGACCCATGAAAGTCCCACGCACTGGGTTAAGCAACAAGTTGATCCAATTTGAAGTTGATCTGCGAATTAGTCACAGCACGTAGCTGGCAGACAGACGAACAGACGGACAGACAGACAGACAGTTGACCTGTTCACCCGGCTTACGTCAAAGGTTAATAAGCAATTTGAGGCGCACGTGAGCGCAGCCAGTTTTGCATTCGAGCTGCAATTACTGACAACCGTCTGTCCGTCCGTTTGACTCTCTGTGACGCTGTCTGTCTGTTTGTCTGTTTGTGTGTGTCTTAATGAACTCATCTACACCCAGTTGCTAATCAATTGAACTCGTTTTTTTCACGCGTGTGCGTGTGTAGGTGTCACTGTGTGTGCGTGCGTGTGTGTGTGTGTGTATTGTCATGTTTGTCTCTGAATGTTGCAATTTCACATAGTCGAAAAGCTGTAATTCATTTATGTAACTTGTAACTTTGGCATTCCATTGATGTAGCTGTAAATGCGCATCTTGCGCCGTCCGTCAGTGCGTTCCATACGAAAGCGCCGTACAAATGTTTCTATAGATTGAGTTTTGGGTGGGGCCCTAGCTAGTTTACATGGTTACTTACATGTGTCGAGTGGGGTGTGTGGGTGGGCTGTGTGTGTCTGTGTGTGTGTGTGTGTGTAGATTGAATTCCAGTTCCGCTATATGAATATTAAGTAAGATTTCAATAACATCTTATATATATATATATATATAT